TTAATCTTGTGGATGTGAGAGGTGTTGATTAAGTGAATGTTGTTTTGTATGGAGTTAACAATTTTATTTCGTATAGTTACACAACAATCTGTGTGTGCAATGATGAATTTGTGTTAGAGTGCAAGTAGAGTCACTGTGGTGTAGGTTGTTTGGTGCTGGATGTTGGGTGCATGTCGGGGCTGGTCCTTGGCGGTTTTTGGTGGGCTTGGGTGGTTGTTGGTGGGGTCGATGGCGCTGGCATAACTATACCATGGTCTAAGAAAGGGGGTAGAACTTGATAAGTCTGTACTTCTTTCTACTCCCTTTCAAGCATGCAATTGTGGTAGTATTTGTAATTTACTTCATGAATGTGATATGACTGAATTGTATACTATTTTGTCTTTATATTGTTATTAGTTTTTTCTTCTTGTATTGTATATGCACTACTTTTTTTTTCTTTTCTCACAATTTTATTTCTGTAATGCTATTTTATTTTTTTACATGCTTGAAATAAACTAAACTAAACTAAAAACTAAACTACATTCCTACTGTTAGCTGTAGGTTCTATGGAAACCTTTACACAGCTGGTACAGTATCAGAGCTGCTTCTACCACCTCACTCGCAGCAGCAGCAATCTCAGTTTGTTATTGTTGATCCTGAGGAAGAGCAGCCTACAGTTTTACACACATATAAGCATAAAAAACAAGATAAAGCAAGAATGCTGTGATGTCACATTTTGTGCAGCCACCTCCACTACAGTCATTAGCTTTGTCAATAAACTGGTTTTGTTAACAATAAACTCATCTATGTCAACGTCCAAAAGCATCTGCAGAACTAAACTGTACAGCTGCACACAGTGGTCCTGTACAACAACACAATACTGTAGCTCGGTTTAAGCCAAAGTCAAAGACGTGTGCTTGGTCCTAAGACTGTGAATCTACGACGTCCACTGATTAAACTGAGAAAACGCCATAAAATGCCTTGAAAACTTCATTCATTTCAGGAGAAGTTTATTTTAAATGTATTCCCGAGTCTGGTGCCAGGTGCAGATTAATGTGCAGAGGAACGAGCTGCAGTTATGTCGTTGTAAGTAAAATAATAAAGTCAAATCTAATGTCTAGAATAAATCAATCATAAACCTAACCTAAACGTCATGTTTGGCAGAAGTACTGCAATGCATTTGTATTGTGCTGTTTACGAGCTAAACATACATAAAACCGTAAATAGCATCACCTCTTACAATCAATTAACTAGTTTTTGCGCCTTAACTCACCAGCACGAAAGCACTAACAGACTAAAACCCGTCACTCTGCCCTTGTTTGACCGAGCAGGTAAAGGACTTCACCCTGTCTAGACAACAAAACCACATCGTTTCATGGTTTTACTCACCAACTTTCCCAAACTGCCGCTGTGACACACAAACGGCGTCAGGTGCGCGAGCTGTCCGGAACCAATCGAGCTTTTCCTGTTTCCAAGCGGGGGCGGGGGGGTTGGGGGGGGGCATGTTTGGTACGGGACTTTCAAAATAAAATTCGTCATCTGAGGCAAGGCATTTTTTGGAATTCAGACGTACCCAGACATCTGCATCAGAGATACAACACTGGGCATTGTGCAAATGTTTGCGCTGTTTGTTGTTTTCGGCGCTGACAATAACAATGCATGTATTCGAAATAAAACAACCAAATGACTTAATGTCAGTTACAAATTTCCGCGAATACTCCAAACTGGTACAATTAGACTGTAGGTTAGCCTACAGGAATGTTTTGTCTGGTAACACTTTATGTTACAGGTCTATAAATTACGGTTTATTTTCAAAGAATTTTTGGAGAACTGTCCTGGAAGGAGCCATCTAATTTGGTACTAATTCTAGATAAAATTAGAGGGTTAGGTTAGCACAAACTTGAAGATTCAGAGGAGTGTCAAATTAGTCTACAAACAACCATATAATTCAGCATAAATGAAGAATAACATTTCAAATAATAAACTAATGAATACTAAATATTAACTGGGGTTAATGTGAAATATTTTAACTGTAAATTAATCTGGAAATCACTAATAAACTCAACTGAGTGGATTAATTTAAAAACAGTCTCTATTTTTCTTAGTACAAAATATGTTTGTTTTTCAGGAAATCTTCAAGAAATGATTAGGACATAGCAGGCCTGTAAATAAAGCTTTGGTTTCATCACTTTCGGAAAATATGTCCCTGAATATAAAAAGCAGCATGATTCTTCTCAAATTGCTTGCTACTAGTCATCCTTCGTGTTTACGGCTTTAGTTTTTATGCTCATATATAGACAAATTTACACATTGAATTAAGGTAAATTGGTTCTGTGTTCAGTTTCCTTTCCCTCTTCCTCTACATGCAGTTCCGGCTCTCCTCCAGTAGAGGTCCTTGTTCTCGAGTAGATGAGCAGACACTTGTCAACTGTCTTCAGATTTGCTGAATTTATGCCTAGCGAAACTACTGCAAGAAATGTTCGTGTCGATTTATAGTAGCCTAGAAGTTAAAATAAAAACGCTCATAGCAGCAAACTGCATTGCTTTTCCTTGTTAAAGACGAACAGTTCGGTTACTGGATTTTATAGAAAAAAGTGGAAAATGATTTGGATTTCTCTACTGAAGAGCTACAGTCAAAATGGATGGACAATTATTAACCCTTGTGTTCTGTTAAGGATCATAAAATATGAAAATAGGGACGACATAAAAATCCCTTTCTTACCTGTGTGAATCTGAGCACTACGGTTTAACACTTCAGAATTCGGAATATACACCACAAATAAATGCTTTATTTCTAACAATCTGTTATTGCTTCGTTATGTGACTAATAAATGTAGCACAACGTTTAACTAGACACCCTTTTCTGGCTAATATTTTTAAATAAAGAAGTTTTGCCAGATTTTTTTTATTTACCAATAATATTGATGATCATTATATCACTATTATGAAATTTATATGCATATTACAATTGTTCCAAATGTGTGCTTCCGTTAAGACATTTACTTTTGCGTTCTCGAATTGAATGTTTGCTAGAAAAATAATATCTGCATTCTTTGGCTTTTATCATCCATAAATAGACGGTGAGTTATTTTTTACAGGTTGACAGAGATGCAGCGCAGCGATTGGAGAGTCCGGGTGTGACGTCATGACGTCAGGAGAGCAGCGTGTGTGGAACGGGACCCTGCAGCCTCCTCGCCCCTCTTCAGTCCGAAGATATAAGTTATCAGGGAGGCAGCCGGAGGGCCAGTCATCTCCTCACATCTTTTCTACATCTACCACAGTCCACTCGCTCCTTCCTGTATGGTGGATATTATTTTCAGCTCTTCTTTCTTGGGTGATATGGGGGATCATTCCAAAAGTAAGTATCCTGTGAGCAGAACTGCTCTGTGGACTTTAGTGGCGCATCATGTTGTCGTAGCAGCGGCGTTGTAGGTTGTAGGTTACGCAGTGCACCGCTTACTGAAGTCACTTTCATAATAATGCAGTTCTCCGTAGAATTAATTGTGTTGGAGGCTTTTAGGAAAAGAAATATTTCAGTGTTTTGCTTATTGGCAAAAGTGTCCATCTGTTATATAACATCAAGTTTACAACAAGATGGATCTTAAAATAAAAGTGTTACATTTGTCCGTGATAGTGAATTCAGTCTGACTGTACAGTCGTGTGGGCTCTTTTGCAGAGAAGCCAGGATTCGCGATGTGTGTAGGATGTGGAAGTCAGATCCATGACCAGTACATACTGAGAGTCTCTCCCGACCTGGAGTGGCACGCAGCCTGCCTGAAGTGTGCGGAGTGCAGCCAGTACCTGGACGAGACCTGCACTTGTTTCGTCCGGGACGGCAAAACCTACTGCAAAAGAGATTATGTAAGGTAGGAGTTTGTGGGAATATTTACCTCATAGTCACTTTAAATAGAACGTTAAACATATTTAAAAGTAGTTAGAATATAATATTACAAAAAGAAGCCAGACTACATTTTTAATGCAGACAGGAAACGAAAAGTGCACAAAAAGCAGAGTAACACAGTAACAACACAATAATTAACACAGTTTAATTACAATTCTACAAAAATACACACCACACTGTTATTAAATAATAGCATAAGAGGCTGCGTCTCGCAGCTCAGATTAACCAGCCGAAAGTTGTCTTCCTTGTTATTTTTAAAAACATCTGTCTGTGCTTTTAATTCTTTGATATTGTATCAAAATTGCAGGCTTTTTGGAATAAAATGCGCAAAATGTAACCTGGGGTTCAG